AGATGTCAGAGCACTTTGCAATGAAGGATTTAGGAATGGCAAAACAAATTCTTGACATGAGGATTGTTAAAGAACGAGTCAAAGGCACTTTGAGACTTTCACAAGCTGAATATGTGAAAAAGGTGCTTAGCAGATTCAATATGAACAAGACCAAGCCAGTTAGCACACCTTTAGGCAGTCACTTCAGACTCAGCAAAAATCAATCACCCAAGTCAGAGGAGGAACAAGATTACATGAGTAAGGTTCCTTACGCTTCAGCTATTGGTTAACTTATGTATGCTATGGTCTGTACCAGACCGGATATCGCCCATGCAGTGGGAGTTGTGAGCAGATACATGAGTAATCCAGGGAAGGAACATTGGGAAGCTGTAAAGTGGATTAAAAGATATCTAAAAGGCTCTTCAGAAACCTGTTTGTGTTTCTCAGGAAAGAGCTTAGAGGTACAGGGTTATGTTGATGCAGATTTAGCTGGAGACATTGACAGTAGGAAGAGTACTACAGGTTACGTTTATACTCTTGGCGGTACTGCAGTGTCATGGGGCTCTAATCTACAGAAAACAGTTTCTTTGTCCACTACAAAGGCTGAGTATATTGCAGTGTCAGAGGCTGCTAAGAAGATGATATGAATGCAGCGTTTCTTGGCTGCAGAGTTTCTTGGCGGAATTGGGTAAGGAGGTTCAGAAAGGCGCGCTCTACAGTGATAGCCAGAGCGTCATATTCCTAGCTAGAAATCCAGCATTTCAATCCAGGACCAAGCACATTCAGATCAGATATCACTTTATTTGATCATTGTTAGATGACAGACAGTTACTACTTGAGAAAATTTGTGGAAGCAAGAATCCTGATGATATGTTGACCAAGGGCGTCACACTTGAGAAACTGAAGTTGTGTTCGACTTTAGTTGATCTTCTAGCTTGAAGATAGGGGTTTTGAGTTGCAGAGGTGGAGGATATCACGTTTGAGGAAAAGGGCAGTGCAGCCAATGGATGGTGCAATTAGTGTCGTAGTCTTCAAGTGGGATAATTGTTGAGGAAGGTGGAGAGGAGACCCGGTGGGATAATTGTTGAGGAAGGTGGAGACCCGGTCCACTTCCTATTACGGCATTGTCTTTGATAAATTGATTCTAATTTATCTGCTCTTAATTCATTTCCTTATGTGCTTTATTCCCTATCATAGCTTGATGATTCCTAATTTTTATTTAAAGCAGTTGCCTTCGATTCACAGGAAGAATTAAGGAAATCTTAATTAATTAATTAAGCTTTACCAGATTAATCTCCCGCCCCTCCTGTTGCTA